CATAGTACAACATTTGTGTAAAAAAATAATCAGTTTAGGGCCTCCCTAGTGGCGCAGGCAGTTGAGCACCGCACTGTGAAGCTGTCCACAGCCTCTGCAGTGCGGGTTCCATCCCGGCCGGCCTACTGGTGGGCCAGCGACAATCCCACATAGTGCTGCAGACCTCTCCTGTCTCGCCCGCTGCTTCCCTCAGCAGTGTATTTCAGTCAGTCTGCCTGTTCTGTTCCCTGCTCTGTCGTGAATCTTCTCACCCTCTTGCACATCTGGACTGTACCCCGGTTCTTGTATAAGTAAATTAAAAAAAACTCTTTAAAAAATATAACGAGTTTAAATATGAGAAATGCATTAAAAGCTTGTGTAGGAGAGAACCCTGCTAAATATAAGATGATCTTTTTTTTTTTTTTTTTTTTTAAGATTTATTTATTTATTTATTTATACACGCACTGGGTAAGGTCAGAAGCCGGGAGGGTGAGAGGATTCACCAGAGCCAGAGCAGGGAGCAGAGCAGGCAGAAGGACCGAAGTACACTGCTGAGGGGTGCAATGGGCGGCAGGAGAGGTCTGCGTGCCCCCTGGGACCCTCCTCCCCTAGCGGGGGAGCAGCCGGGGATGGAACCGGCGCTACAGAGGTTGCAGGCAGCTTCGCAACCCAGCGCTCAACCGCTGCGCCACTGTGGAGGCCCCAAGATGATCATTTTGATTCCATCCTAGCTACAGTTTTGACTGAGAACTTTTAATCATTTTAACAAATGACTACACATTTGCAGTTTTGATATCAGTTCTGGTATTTTTGCTTTTCAGCATGTTTATAAAATAAACTTGTTTAGGGTTTTTATACAGAAACATTCAGCTTATTAGAGTTTATTGCAATTTTTTTTCCTGTTAGAAACCTGTAGTTAGTTCTTCCCTTCTTTGCAAAGTGGTTTATTTAAAAGATCTGTAATATTTTTGTACTAATTTTTTGAAATGCATTTCTTGTATACTTTGGTAATGACATCTGCACACTTATTTAATTGAAAATATGTTCTTTAAGAAGTTGTTTTTAGTCTTAAGTAACTGTCGGATAACAGTGTATATCCAGTATCTTTTGGCCTTAACTGCCATGGAAACTTATGCAGCCTTCCTTTCAGACTTCCTATTTCAGTCTAGTTTAATGTGGCACTGTATTTAGCAGGGAAAACTCATAGGTTGATGCCCCCTTGTGGTCTGTCACCAAAAAAATAAATAGCACAAATAGAAATAACTAATAGATATTTTAATACATGTTAAATCATTCCTTCCTTTATAAGTTAATTTTTTAAAAGTGTCTTCTGAGGAAAAACAGCAGTTACTATTCCTGTATTCATTCTATTACTTTATTGACTTTAAAATTTATCAGTTATTTTAACCTGTTACAATAGAATGTGAAATAAGTGTTAGTTGGACATGGACACAAAGACAACTAAGTTGTTGGGTTTATCAACAGGGTAATTGTTATCTTAATAATTTAAGTGCCTTCAAAATAGGATGAGATGTGGAAGTAACTCTAGGACTGGCCCACTCAGTATCCTTTGCTCCTTCAACCCCCCCCCCCCACACACACACTCTTTCTCTATCTCTCTGTCTCTGTCTCTCTCTCTCTCTCCCCCTCCCCCTCTCTCCCTCCCTCCCCCCTCTCTCTTCCCCACACGTGCTCATGTTCATGACTTGAGGGAAATTTGTTGTTTATACTTAGTCACTTGACCTGAAAGTGGAATTGGAAAAAATATGGATTTATTATTAGTGAATTGGTGAGTTCAAGCTCATTTGCTTGTATTGATCTTTTTGGTGAGGTCTTGTTTGTGTGTTGAGTGTGGGTTTGAGGAGAGGTGGGGGCAAAGTAGCAATTGCAGTAAGTGTTTTAAAAGGAAAGTGCAGATGTAAACAACTGCTTTTCTTTTACCCACTAAGCTGCCTGGTGGCTGAAAGCAGTTCAGTACAGCGAGTTTGGGTTTTAAGATAACGGTAGAGCTGGTTTTAAAACTTGATTTTATCTTTTACTAGTTCTTGGGTAGTAGTATAACATTGGGTAAGTCACCTCAGCTCTGAACACAGGTTTCCTTTGTTTAAAAGGGTGTTAAAGCCTGTACAATAAAACTGTTTGCAGCTTGAGTCTCATATGAAGTCTTAACATACACCGCTGCTGTATTACTCTTAAGGTTAGGGCAGTTTTGCATTGTAAAGTGTGTTGCAAGATTTTTGTATCAGGGCTTGTTGGTAAAGACAGCCTATCTTAGTGATAGGGATGATTCTTAACAATAGGATGATAAACCTGCTCAGTTCTTTTTCTTTACTGTGGACTTCATGCCTTACTACCACATAAGTACACATTTTATTTATAAGTTGCTGGCCATTTACTTGATCAGTTTAATAGCTGAAACCCACTAGCCTATTTTTATTAAAATGGTACAATAGGAATTTTTTCCTTAGGAGTGATAGTTGCATGTTTTGGCAGGTTCAACTAAAAAATGCAAATTAGTATTGTTCCTTGATAGCCATTTAGTTTAAAGAAAGATTTTGTCAACAAAATAATGAGATATTTTTGTTGTTTTGCTTTGATTTTCAACAGCTGCTAATAGTACCAGGCTCACTGTCTTACAGTCACCTTGCTTATTTATTACTTACAGGGATTAATCTGAATCAAGTTTCAGAAGAAATAAGATTATTTGTAGTTATTTAACTTAACAGAAAAATAAGATAGTTTATTAAAGACCCAGTTACATCCAACTTTGAGTCAGAAGATTTTCTTCCTTCTAAACTTCTTCACAGCTAAGTTGTAGAAATTGGCTCATTTTTTCTTTTTTAATAACTTCCTATTAAAGAAGAAAAAATATATGTCAAAATGCAAATGCAGCTGCTTGGGATGTAATGATTTTTGGAAGTAGGTGGGCTTTAAATCATAGAAACAAAACTAACAGGAGACGTAGCACTCCACAGGGCTCTTCTGTATACTTTCATACCTGCCTCTTTCCCCTTTTCCTTTATTTCTTTGGTTCTCAAAATACCTAGCCTGTATTTGGATAGTGCCTAACTGAAATCTCTGTTCTAAATCCTGTATGTAAGTACTAAAGACTTTAATGGCAGTTAACATTTCTCTTGTAAATTATGAATTGGATTTTGTTGTTTTATCCTTGAATATCTGTTCTCAGGGAGACTATTATAGGAAAGAAAAGGAGCAGGGGTGGGCGAAAGATAGCTGGAAAGAAGTAGAGAGTAGACTGTTGGGTGGGGGGTGAGTGGTGATAGCAAGAACACATGCCATTCTACCAGGGACTTGTTTTTTAAACATAAAAAGCATATGTGCCAAATTTACATATTTACTAATTAAAAAGGCTTCCTGGAAACATTAAGTAGACTATCTTCTATAACCTTTAACACTGTCACTAATGGATATTGCATAGAAAATTTCATCGAAGGTCCTTTAAATAATGTAAATGATTATGAATATGTAACTAGTTAATATGCAGCTACGAAAGGATTATCATGTAGAGGTTAATGAACATTCTGCTCTTATGGTTTGCAGGGCTTTTCTTTCTGTGCTTTTGGCTCACTTCATGCTTGGAAACACATGCATTGGGATTGGAAAGCATCCTGACTTTTTGGGTCTCGTTTTTTAATGTGGCTGTTAAATAGGAACTTTACATAAAGGATTCCATGAAATTTTTTTTTCAATTTGTATTTAATTCTGTTTGTCTATTTCATAATTACTGCCAAATCAGAAACAGTGAAATGGATTGATAGAGCTTTAGCCTGGCTCTTCCAGATGTAAAGTCAGTACTCTATTATGTATTACCACTATTATTAAGTGTTGCTATGTGATTGATACTTACTGAGAGATCTTCATTCTAAAATGGACTTTTTATGCTGAGTTAATGTGTAGTATGGTTGGGTATCTGATTACAGCATGCATTTTGGTACAGGATTGCTGCCTTACTATTTAAAATGTCCCAAAGGAGGACATTTATTTCAGGAATTAAATGTTATAATAGAGGAATTTAGTGACAGGCCAAAAAAAAATCTTGTGATTTTTGGGTGAAACATTGAGATAATATTGGTTTCTAGAGCTCTGTGTTTCAAATCAGATAATACTGCTGTCTTTTTCATATGGCCTTGTATAAGCATTTTGACTTTCATCCCCGAGTTTCTCAGTTTCTAAAATGGTGCTACATTATTTGTAATTATTTAAAAATTTTTTTTATTAATGGGCAATTTAAAACATCATTAGTAATCTTTGAAAACTGTTTTTTTTTTAAATTGTCATCCAAGTGTTCTTTTTTCCCCCCTTATGGCTAGTGTTCTTATTTTTTTAATGAACATTCTAAGAATCCACTAAAATATCTTTTAGGAAAACAAATAACTTTTGTGTTAAATTTCATTGTTTTAGTATTAAAAGCAGTTTAAGTTGGCTAGGTGGGGGGAACAAATGGGTTATTCAGAGCATCTCTTTATCCCAAGTATTTTTTCTTGAAAATATAGTAGAGAAAAATCACTGAACTCATTTTTTAATGTGTCAGAATAAAAATTACAGGTGAAAACATTTGGAGATATACTGACAAAATAAAATATTTTTGCTACTGTCTTTTTTTTTAACTGATGAAATGTGGATATTACATTTTTTTTGTTATTTATAACATTTGTGTATTCTACAAAATATGTAACATTGAAAACAGGTCTGTAGATTGTACAAAATAGTAGTTATCTTATATCATATGTCACCTAATAGTTATGAAGCAGGTTTTGTACCAAAGTATGAATTGGAAAGCTGTAATTTGTTTTGCAGTTATCAGCTTGCATTAGAGGGTTATGATAAAGTGTGCTGCTTAAAAACTAACATTCACATCTCTGTGCATTTGACAAATAAAAATGTATACTGAGTTGCTATTAAATCTGTAAAGCCACTGTTCTAGTTTTCTGATACACTGATTTTGCAGCTTTTGCTTAGCCCTGTTTTTTTTCATGAGTAGTTATCTGTTTTCATGACAGGTGGTCACTAACTGCCAAGAGAAAATCCAGCATTGGTGAGTGAAAGACAATTTTATTACTTTTTTGAAATACTGATGGGGTCACCTACTTGTATTTAAATGAAGTGTGTACTGTTTTTTATGTAACAGGTAATTGAATTCTTCTAGTAATTTCCATTTTGAATGCTTTTTATACTAATTTATATTGTCTTTCACCATTTTTACATGTTCCCTGATTTCCTAAAGCTGTGTAATTATTTGTTTACTGTCTTCTTTTTACCTTTTTTTTTTTAAAGTGAGAATAATATTAGTATCATTGTGGAGTGGAGGTTGAGATCCTTTTGAACCTTATTTTGGGAATAAGCTCTTATTTTGGAAATATTTCTTATATTTGTATAGAATAATAATTGAATTATTAGCTTTAAAATAATGGTAGAAATATATATATATATTTAGATGCCTTTCTCCCAAAGTTTGAAAAATCTAATTGCCTACATCTCAGAGCTTGCTTTACAGACTGCACTTTTTAGAGTGCAGAGAGAAATAAACCATTATCTGTTTTAATGTGCTAATCTATAGTTAATAGGACACTGCTTGGTAAATAACACATATATCTTTTGAGGAAAATGCTCAATTTAATGGTGAATAAAATATTATGAATTGTCATGAGGTATAGCTGTTGATCTTACAGATATCAAATTACAATATATCCATGCTGTGTTTACGGAGATTTTACGGAGAGAACAACAGGAGCTGTCTTGATTATTGTCTGCAGGGTTATTGCAAAATCATGGTAACTGCCCCTTTAGTGGTGAGATTAAACCTTTGGTTATACACTATCAAGCATATAATATTTTAAATTTATTTTAAGAGGCTTTTTCTTCATGCCCGAGAGATCTCCAAGGAAATAATTTATAGTTAGTGTATATCAAATGTTTTTTGGCTTAAATGCACGTAGGCTGGAAGCAGTGGATAAGAGGAAAATCGGTACAATCTGTACACATCATTTGATTAAGTTCTATTAGCTTGCAGAAAATAATTTAACTTAATAATACCCATTTTATAAATAAAAATCCAGGGACTTCATTAATTTTCAATAAATGCAACGTGTAGTTGTATCCACTGGTGGTGTAAGTCTGTCAACATTTCCATAAGGACCATTTGCTTTTCATTATACATTCAGTCCAGGTTAAAACTTGAAATGCCAGTCCTTAGCCAAATACTTTGACCAAAGTGATCCATTTTCCCAGTAATTTTCAGGGAAAGTTTTATTAAATTGGACTTTTATTTATTGGTAAGGAATTCAGTAAATTAAAAGCAGTTGCCTTCACTCAGAACACATGCTAATTTACACAAATGTGTGAATAACAACTTGCTTCTGAGTTTTTTCCTAAGATTCTTTTAGACTGAGAATTCATTAAGGCTAAGGGGGCATGTTTTCATCTTTTTATCCACAGCACCTCCTACTGTGTTTGGCACATTTAGGTACTTTAGAAATGTTTGAGTAAATGAAAACCAAGTATATAATTATTTTGTATATAACATTTTAGTTTACAAATACTATTGCAGTGCCCAAGTCTGAGCATTGACACAAATGTGATACTTGCTTTAGGGTGGGCTCATGTGACTCTCAATCTCAATTTCCAGTTTTCCAAAGCTCTCCAAACTACAGGGGCTTAGCATATTTGCCTACAAATGTCTTACATATATTACATTATCTGTACTTTAAGAAATTAAAGTTATTTCTCTCTATACACTAATAATTTTTATACATTCAAAAATTAAGTTTTTTTCTAGCTAAAATTTGCTTTTTCTTCTGAGTCATTTTTAATACAACTTAGAAAACAAGACTTTTCTCTTTGTTTTTAATGAAGATGGGATATTGCTAGAATCTAAATGGCCAGTGTACTCAGCAATTTATTGTATTCAAAAACTGAAACCATAGTGTCTCCACTCCTCTGAAAGCCAGAAAATTGCTATTTGGAAGCATTGTGGAATTCTTGTGGCATTTCATTCTTTTATTCCACAAAGATTGAGTTCCTACTGTATGTCAGTATTATGCTGCTGTTTGGCATTGAAAGAACCTGCCATGGAGGAATTCATAGTTGGATACCGAAAGAGAAATCACAATAATTTTGTGCTATTTGCAGAGATAGGAACCAAGAACAGAAGCTGGAACCATTCTTAAAGGTGTCTTACTCACTGCTTTTTAAAGCATGTTGCTTTTAATTTTTCTTTAACTCTTGGTGTTCCATGTTTCCCTAGTCTAAAATACAGTTCATATAACTAAGGTCCTCTTCTTTATGACTACATTCCAATATAATGAGATTAAAATATTTGATTTTTAAAGATTCATTCTTCGGCTAATGATGCTTATTTTTATTTGTGCAATTTTAAGGGATTCTTTTATTTAGGAGAAATAATGAATAGTCTTCAAAAATAATCTTAAAATTTTTTTTTATGTGGAACAAAAAGTAAAAGTATTTATAGAAAACTAGGAGAAAATGGCCTGAAGCGACAGGACCTGTCCTCCTCCCCCTCCAAATTTCTTCCCAGAAAATTCAAATCCCAGAACTTTGGTGAACTAACAGTTGAGAGTTTGCAAATAGTGCTTTTCATTTTTGTGACGATTAAAAACAATTTTTTAAATACAAAGTAAGGTATTAGAAAATCCAGACACTATTTTCTTATTAAAATGTGAATCTGCTTCCCACTGTTTGATCCACTAGGGGCTGGTTATTCTGTTTGTAGGCTATTTTGTCATCTTTTATCTTTTGGATTCTTCTCTAAAGAGTATAGAGATTTGGGTTCACAGACCTACATTTGAATTCTGTTATTTACTGTCTTTGTAAACCTTGGTGAATTACTAAGATTCTATTACCTTTTTTGTAAAGTGACGATGATAATACTTAAAGATCAAGTGAGGAAGCAAGATGATGCCTGTAGGTCAACCCAGATTGCCACTTAATAAATATTAACAGTAATGAATATTTTTTGGAAATTTTAATTGTTAGATGAATAAAGAAAAGATAAAACCACTGGAAGCTTTGTAAATATTTCAGGATAATTGTATTCATGCCATGATATCTTTTATCCTGACTTAACTTCAAGTTAAACAATATGTGGTTTAAAATTAAGAAGCATAAGAGTGTAATGTTCAGTTCTCTTCTTGGTGAACAGTTGTTTTTACCAGTTTCATGTAAATCTTTCCAGAAATTGTTTGCATAAGGGTGTTTGTAAGTATATGTGTGTTTATTCATCCACTGGTTTATATATAACATGTGGATGTTAATTAAAAAATGAAATCATATTGTACACTATTCACTTAATACTATTCCTTGAGGATTGTTCTCAATCATTCATTAACTCCTATTCTTTATTTCATTCCCCTAAACTTCATTTGTGTCAGATACCTAAATTTTTAGAGTTATCAAATATTATTTGGTACTGATTTTTTGAAAAACGGTGGCCACATTTTTTTTCTATACTCAAAATACACCCTTGTTAAATTGTTGTATCCATTACTTATTCCTTCTTAATAAAATTACTCCAAAACTAGTGTTTAAAAGAACAGCTATTACCTTGCACATGATTCTGCGGATGTGCATGTTGGAAAGACTTAACTTTGATGGTTCTGCTAGTCTTCTGTGGGGCCACTCATCTAGGCACAACCTTTTGGTGACTGACAGCTGGATTTTCCAGAATGGGCTTCACTCACAAGTCTGGTGGCTAGTTGGCTGGACTTCTTTCTCCACATGCTCTTTTCTCTAACTTTATAAGATGATCTCAGGGCAGCAGGAGTGGAAGCTACAAGGCTACATTGTGTTGGCCAAATGAACTTACAAATCAGCCTAGTACTTACGGTCATTTAAAATGTTTACAGAGGATATCTGTTGAACATGTTCCACAAGAAAAAGTGAATCTTGTTACTTGTGTTGTTGATTGGTGAGAATTAAATGAAATTTGGTATATGATGCTTGGCACATACAAATCATGTGTATTTAGGTACTATTGTGTGCATATGTGTTATAAAAAATTTGTTTTGCTTCCTTCAAATGCTCTTAAGAGTTTTAGTTAGTAAAGATATTTGAAATTACCTGAAGTAGACTTAAATGAAAATATAGGAAAAGGTATTTTACACGCTTAAATATTTCATTTTGGAAAGAACAGCTTCAAATTTAGATTAAAAAATTATGACTCTCTCAAGCATTATGAGAGAGGGAGTTTAAAGCAAGTAACTTGATATTTATTTTTTGAAGGAAAATGGACCAAAAATACTGTTTTGAGGTAATTTCTAGTATAGCTTTATAGTCAAGGTATATGGTGGGAAGTAACTGAGCGAGGAGATGTACATAGTTAAGCCACAGGTGAGGGTTGCTGATTTTTTTTTTAATCCCTCTTTCAAGTCAGTCAGGATGATGGATGGATATCTATATCTGTATTTCTTTTTGATGACTGAGGGATTCTTTGCCCCATATAAGCAGAGAATTGTTGCATCTTTATAGTATATTTCTCATGAACTACCTGAAACAGTGTTTTCCTGGCTTGTGCTTTATTAGGAAACCATATTTTTCAGAGTCCCCATTTTATTAAACGTAAATTGTTCAGTTACCATTTTGTGTAGGACATTCTGTTTGGGCTTTTTTATTTTTATGTCAATCCGACCCCTCCCCCCACCCCCCAAGAGCAGAGAGCAACTTCCAAACCTTCTAAGGATTTTCCATGCTTTTGTGGTTAGAATTTCTAGAGTTATTAATGTCCTTAGGGGCAAGGGCAAGAGGGAGGAATCCTATGCAAATCCTCTTTATCATTCTTCAAGTCCTGTGTAGGTTTTTATTTTATTATTATTTTTAATAGTGTGGTGTTTTAGTACATGGGTTGGGAGGTTGAGTAAACTTTGAAACTTTTGCGTGTAATGTTTCAAAGGAAATTAAGATGCAAATAAAACATTCAAGTTGAATGTATTAATACTAATTAAAAATATGAAATAGGTTTTAATTTTTTAATTCTAAATGTAAAATGAACACATTTATAGAAAGGTTGAAACAAGAAGAGAG